ACATAAACACATATATAAATATATATGCATATATAAATATAAACTTCAGAATATATATATATATATATATATATATATTATTATATATATATATATATAATTACGCCTAAATTTGAAGGGAAATTATAATCCCTGAATCTCACTTATCAATAGATACACTTTTAAAAATTGCAATTTGTTTTATATTTCACTGGACTGAATTCCCCAGTTCTGCCAAGAATTGAAATGATCCCCAACCTTATACTATTAAATGACAGTACCTAAAATATACTTAGGAAGTTTCAATTATAAACATGTCTGTTTTTAAGAGCAGACTTCAGGTAGTCTTTGGTTACTTGCATATACCTCGTGACATTTATTTTATCAGCTCTTAATACCTAATTGTACAATTAGCAAGTACTCTATACATCTATGGAAACACAGGACTTACTATGAAACAGTATACATAATGTGACTCTGTACTCTAAGCTGGTACTAATAGGGAGAAAGCTGGAGAAGAAAATGCTTGTAATCATACAGTCAAAAATACCACAAAAGAAGATGGTTTGATTAAAAATGCTCTGAAGTAAAAACTATAGAAATTAAAGTCTTTTCATGACTCCAATACTCAACAATTTAATACAAAAATATCTGAACATCTATGACATATGAGGACATATGGTATGTGTGAATCTTCAGTTTTAGAAGAAAAGAAATAGAAAGCATGTAAGTGATGACAGCACCAGACTGGGAATTATGAAACTCTGACTTTAAAGTCAAATGCCAGTGTCCCAGGGGTTGGAGGAGCTAAGATTAAACCTGCCTCTCTGTGAAGGCTGTTGGGCTAGATCCAATTTTTTTTCCTGGCCTGTTTAGCTTCCTTCCCTAGCTAAAGCCAGAAGTCCAAATTTGGCATTGGCTTTAGGCATTGCAAATTTAAGTTTCAGCAAATTAGGGCAGGAAAGTTATTTAATTTCTATATAAATAAAAAGAAGAATCAATGAAACAAAAATATAGTGCTTACTTTTGGGCTGTGTGGAGAGGTTCTCATCTATCTGAAAATTAAAATAGGTAATCGAAAATATGGTCACTCTCAGAGTCTAAAATATTTGGTAATATATAACGTTAGGTAAGGATAATAAAGTTAGAATAGATAGCAGCTAATCATAGGTCACAAAACAGATATTTATCACCATGTTGACACCAAACTGCTTCTTAATTTATATCAGTGCAAGCTACAAGAAAGGACTAAAGAACAGAATTGATTATTAGTTTCAGACTTCTGCCTAATATAATAGTCTTTTTATTTTTTTGTTAGATATTTTGATTCTAAGTTTGTACACATTTCAAGGCACTCAAGAAACTTTGTTCTTCTATGTCTGATTTTTGTTTGATTTTTGCTAGTTCTATTTTGAAAAAGAAATTATCCTCATTTCCCTTTAGCCACTTACTCATGGTGCGAGCTTGGGCAAGTCACTTAAACCCTCAAACTGGTTTCCCTCTCTGTAAAACATTAGCAGTTTTAATACATTCTTCAGAGCTTCTGAGATGACTGAATCAGAGAATTTGAGTAAAACTCCTAGCACAGTTACCTCGCCAGAAATACAATAAATACTACCAATTGGAAACAACAGAAAAAAATAAACCTACTTTAAAAATGACTGTTGCCAAAGATGACAGGTTTTCAGCACTTACTATGTACTTATACTGTGCATTTTAAGCATTTCACAAGTAGAATCTCATATAATCCCCAACCACCAGGTACTGTTAGTATCCAGTTTTACAGGTGAAAAATAATGATAAACAGAGAAGTTAAATAAAAGCCAACAGAAGTTGGAATCAAGATTCAAACTGTGTTAGACTTTCTCTAGACTCCACACAACATCAATTAAGCTATGCTTCTTATATCAGAGATAGCTATAGAACAGTGATATCAGGGCTCCAAACTGAACATTTGAAACAAACAAAAAAAGGGAAATTTGGTGGGAGATTTTCAAGGTAAGAAGAAAGTATTTCAAATTCTAAGGCGAGATCACATATTGAAACCCAAGTAGAGACCATGAATGATACAGAATAAACCAAGACAGGTACCTGCCACTAAAGAAATATAAATAAATAAATAAATCAAGTAAACCAATGTTGAATCTCTAAAGTCCTCAGACTCTTAGTTGTATATTATAGGAAGAACAAACTGATAACTGACACAGGGCACATGCATGAGGTTATCCTGAGAACGGGTGTGGTCAAAGATTCCTCAGCCTTAGGTCTGAGTTAAGGGTCTAAATCTGGCAGCTAGACAAAAATTGCCAGCAATTCATCAATATAGCAAAATATAAGGATATTTTATAAAATATGGTCTGTTAAAAGGGTCTAATTATTTGCCTCATGCCATCGAATATAATTTGATATTTCATGATAAATATTCCCTAAATTTAAGCATATTTTTAATCCCAGACCAATAGAGGATATCTACCACCCTCTCTGACCTACTAGTGACATCAGATAAAGGTAACAATAATAATAATCACAGCGTTTTAGTACAGTTTATACGAGGAATCATGAAAACATCACATAGGCAATACTGCAAAGTGGAGAAGTATTTTTAAACTTAGTTTTCGTTTTACACAATCAGACAATGTTATTATAATGGCATTCTAGAAAAAACATTCAAATAATACCATCATCTAATTCCAACAAAACCAAGGAAATTTTAAGACAGTGCTGGCATGCTGTTGTGTTGAGATACTATTTCACATAGAATCATTCAGTCTAAACTTATAGCAAAATTTAATCCTAATCTCCCTCACTTTTTGGGGTAAGATACCCGATTATTAATTTTATTTGAAATTTAGGGGGAAGAAAGTCTTTCTAATATTTTAAAATTAGATTGTGGTGACTTTAATTAGATTAAAATTAGATTAGATTTAGGTTGTATAACTCTAAATATTTTGAAATTCATCAAATCATACTCAGAACGGATGCATTTTATACTATGTGAACGTATCTCAAAAGACCTTTTTTTAAAATGTGCCCTCTACTGGGAAGCTGGGATTAGTCAGGCTAGTCAGGCTGCTGATTGGGAAGCTGACTGGTCCCTGGGGCCAGTCAAAAACTAAGAGTGTGAGTTTAGGAGGTAGGTCAGAGCAGCCATTAAGGATAACATGGGGTTCAACCTGGCCAACATGATCAAATAATCTTTGACTCACTCTCTTCCCCTTAAAAAAGGGGCAGAAATAAACATATTAATTAGGGGGGAAAGTTCTGTTATGTGGAACTGTTTTTGCCAAGCCAATTCCTTGCAAAAAAAAAAAAAAAAGCCTTAAAATAACTATTAGTCACTAAAATATATGGTACATACATAAAGATCATTCAATGAAATTAATGACATGCCAAATGTACTCGAGGTTTAAAAAGAAAAAGTAAGCTAAACACATTTCATATGGAGGAAAGAAAACAAAAATGCACATCGTACCATGAAGCATATGGGGAAATGTTCCACATTCTCTAGGCCACTTAATCTCTATCACTATCTAAACTCTTTCTGGTGTATTTTATATTAGCACACAAATCAGTAATTATACTGTCCACATATGATGGTAACATATCTTTGCCTTTCATAGGATAAGAGAAAATGCAACAGAACATGTTAGGATAGGTTTATGCTTTCTGATTCTGAAGTACATGCTCATTTAATGGGCAAAAATACCCCAATTATCTTTCTTCCTAAGCATATCCTTTCTACAGGAACAATGCTCCTACTTAACAGGTAATGTCTGTGGAGTTATTGATTTTAGTAGAATTTCCATTCTTCCTTTTAAAAACAGTGAAATAGTGAAGTTGCCTGTTACAAAGAAATTAACCTTGATTAAAACCAAAACCTTATGGTATATTGAAAACACATTTTAATTCTCTTAAAATACTAACCCATAAATATTTCTAAATAATATTGATTTTTTTTACTTTCAATGGCCACCATTTTTAAAAATGTTTTACCATGGAACTTTTAAATATTAAAAAAATTAAATGGCAAAACAAACCTCCCTGTACCATCATTCATTGATCGAACAATTTCAATAATTTGCCACAATTGCTCCCTCTATCTTTCTATGTATATTTTTATTACTATATACTTTAATGACAATTCTAGACCCCATGTCTTTCACCCTTCCATACTTCATAGGTATCTCTGAAAAAGTGTAACATTGGTAGCTATCACTTTTTTTTTCAGTTGAGACATTTTTAATGGAAATATAAATTAAAATGTATCTATTTTCAAACATGCTATGATGATGCATAAGTTTTAAGATTTATTTACAATGTACAGAAGACAAAGTATAAAAAATTCTGAAGCGTTTACTTTCATTTAAAATATTTGACTCTATTTTTTCCTATTAGAAATTATAATTCAAATTATAGGCCAAACTAAGACTATTTTAATATTAAAGAGAAAGCAATAGCACATTTGTTTTAAGTCATATTTGCTGCTCCTAATAAGTCCATAATTCTTCTGAATGTTGAGATAAGAATACAATCTGCCACTTAGATATTGCAAATCCTTTACCCAAGAAGTGAGTTGAACAAGCTTCAAATACAGTAAAATACTTAAAATTCCAGAGTTTAATTCATGATGTTTAGTGCAATTTGTTTCTATTGTCAGAAAATATATTAGAATATCATTTCAACATATACTCACTTTCATTGATGTAGGGTAATATTATCTAGTAGTGTAAAGTTTAAATAAAACTAGTAACACTGATGATATAGCATTATAAGATTTCTACATAAAAATAGAAGGTATTTAAATTTATTGATACAAATACTAAACTACTATGCTAATGAATCAATATACCAAATTAGCATTTTAGCTCCAAAAGCAATATTTTGACTTTTCTTTAATTATATTTATACTTAAGTTTTCATATATATACTTTGGTACTATTGAGGATTTAAAAATTTGTTTTAAATGCAATTTTCCATCTTTATCTTTTTCACCTTTCTATATATCTGTGATTAAATCATACCTTCAAAGTAGCCATCTCTTTTGGGCTGTGCCTTCTTTGGTGATTTTATAACAGAAACTTTATCTTCATTGTTTTTGAATAATGCTAGACGCACAGTAGGATCTAGACAAAAAAAAAAGCAAAATAAGATAAAAGTTCAGCATTGGCTCTTTCCTTCTCTGAAATGGTTATACCTTTTAAATAATAATATCAAAAATAATACCCATTCTATAAAGCTCTGTGAAATTGATGATGATGTTATGTTAAAAAAGCTTTATAATATGACAAAGTAACCAACCATTTCTATATTCTTGGTTATCTGATTAAACACATAGCCAAAACTTAATACAAAGAGCAGAAATACTAATAATGTGAACACCTTTACATGTAAATTTTCTAGTTCTGGCACCATCTTTTTAGTTAGGAAGTTGTTTCACTGTTTATTACTTCATCTCCTTTGTTAAATTCCTGATATTTCTGCTGGAATAAAGTAACATTTCCATAAATATATAATAGAGAAAAGCTATTATTATAGTAAAAACCATATACCCTGCTTTTTTCCTCCTCTAAACTATAAGGAGCTAAGATAGGAGATGGAGGCAAGACAACCAATAAGATGAGAAATAGGTAAAACATAATTTTCATTAATTTTACAGATAAATGGATTTATCTTGTGCCTTGATGTATGATATTTCACATAACAAAGATGGATAAATTATAAATATTTTATAGCTAAGAGAATTCTAAATCTATTAATTTTATAAAATAATTAGGATGACTGTAAATGTAGGGCTCTTTAAGATTTAATTGATAATAAATGGTTCTATGGAATGTGAAACTGGGGATTAGTGTAGTTGAATTAAGACAAAAGGTTTTTGCTTGTCAAAGAACTGTAAGCAAAGAAAACAGAGAAGTAACAGGAAGTAGAATAAAGAGTGGAAAGTGATGCTTTCAAAGTAGGTTAACATACCTGCTTTAAAAAAAGTAGGTTGCATCTGACTGATACGTTGTATGTCAACTATACCTCAATAAACAAATAAATGAAGTAGATTATCATAAAACCACAATTCAAAACAGCATACATTTTCTTAATATCTTACACCATCTTGCAAAAAGGGACTTTAAGACTCTTTGATAAATAGCTAGTGCAATACTGACATAGTAAACAAACTTCTGGTTATCTGGGGGGAAAAGGTGGGGGAAAGGATAAATTAGGAGTTTAAGATTTGCAGATACTAACTACTACATATAAAATAGATAAACAACAAGTCTCCACTGTATAGTAGAGGGAACTATATTCAATATTTTGTAGTAACCTACAATGAAAAAGAATATGAAAAGGAATATATGTATGTATATGGATGACTGAAACATGCTGTACACCAGAAACTGACACAACACTGTAAACTGACCATACTTTAATAAAGGAAAAAAAATCTAATGCAACAGAAGAGAATATACCTAAATGAAAAAATAAGATTTAAAATGTCACCAAATCCAAATTACATATTTTAATTAAATGTTAAGGTAGCACGTGTTTTAGAATGTGAATTAGAAGAGCAGAAAAGCACCTGCAGTTATCCTCAAACATGAGCATAATGAAGATTTCCTTTAGTCTTCCAGTAATAATTTATCCTTACTAAGCATGATTTACATGTTTCAGAGAGATTATATTTTTTAGATTAGGAGAAATATTGGTCAATATTTGGGCACATTTCATAATTATAAGTGACTTAAGGTATTGTAAGAGTTGGGTGCTTCTATATAAATTCAATGTGAATTATCAATAAGAAAAATTTTAAAAACCTCTGTCTATACATATTTAATAGGATAAATAATATATATCACCTAAGGTATTCTCAAAAAAATATTGGCATGTCAAAAGAGCACTAGTCAATCAGGAAGACAGATTACTATGGGTTTACATACTGTATGATACCCTACTATAACCTGCTGACTCTTCTATACCTTCTCCTGGCTTTCTTGCCTGTTAATTGGATCTATGTATTTCCTGAGTAGATATTACAATTGGACAGACCTAGGTTAGATCCAAGCTCCAACTTTCACTAGTTGTATGACTCTGGACAAATTAATCTCAACTTCTGCCTCCTTTTTTGTCCAGGAGAAATAATACTTGAAATATTACTGTGAGAATGAGATAATGTGTGGAAAGCATCAAGACTCATGCCTACATAAGTGTAAGGACTCAACAAAGGGCAGCTGGGAAACATATAATTACAACATAAGCAACAATATTGTTTCCAACTGACTATATTCTTGGAAAAGATCTTAAATCCTTCCTACAATAAGGTGGGAAATATAGGAAATTGATGAATCCATAATAGACTTCATTTTATTCATCTAGCTCATGAAACAAAAGCTTTTGTAAGTTTTTTTGCACTCCTTTGGGTAACTATCTCTCTATGACTTGATTTTTTAATATGTAAAACATGAATAAGGTTGTACTTTCCTCATACATTTATCATGATTAAATAATTTAACACATATAAAATATTTAGAGGAGATGTCTCGCTCCATGTGCTCAATAATTTTACTCACTGAGAGGAGATAAAGAGTACTACATTTTCAATATCTTTTTATTTCAAAACATTCTGATTGTACCACCTTCAATTGACCTAAAACAAATTAATTCAAACTGCAAAGGAATAATAGTAAGAAACAATGATAAGGAGCAAAAAATGTAGTAATTCTAAGTCAAATTGTAACAATTCTACCTAATAAAATTGAAAACTGAAAAAAAAAAAGCAAATCTAGATGGGGAAAAAAAAATCACTTGATTCTGATAGTCCCTAGAAAGACCACCATGAATGACACTATTGTTACCCTCAAAAAATACACAATCGAGTAAGAAAGCCAGGAGATAAGGATATCATAAAGAGCATTACAGAGTCATTTAAACCTAGTCCTTAGGGATCATCAATGGCAGGTCTGTGTTGCTGTTTTTTAAATCTTTGTTATCTCTCAGTATAATTTGCCCAGTGTCTTGGAAATAGGTTTTATTTTTATGCTTTTATTTATTCACTTCTTTATGTTAGTTGAAGTATAGTCAGTTTACAATGTGTCAATTTCTGGTATACAGCATAATGTTTCAGTCATCCATATATATACATATATTTCTTTTCATGTTCCTTTTCATTACAGATTGCTACAAGATATTGAATATAGTTCCCTGTGCTATACAGCACAAACTTGTTTATCTATTTTATTTTTTATATGTAGTAGTTAGTATCTGCAAGTCTCAAATTCCCAATTTATCCCTTCCCACCCCCATTCCCCTTGGTAACCATAGGTTTGTTTTCTATGGCTGTGAGTCTGTTTCTGTTTTGTAAATAAGTTCATTTGTGTCTTTTTTTTTCTTTTCTTTTTTTTAGATTCCACATATAAGTAACATCATATGGTATTTTCTTTCTTTTTCTGGCTTATTTCACTTAGAATAGACGATCTCCAGGTCCATTCATGTTGCTGCAAATGGCATTATTTTATTCTTTTTTATGTCTGAGTAGTGTTCTATTATTGGCTGGGTAGTATTCCATGGAAATAGGTTTTAAATACATCTTTATAAAATATTTAAAGAAACTCGTAAGCTGAGTTTCCATTATTATATGGCTCTGTGCTCGACATTTTTATATCCATTATCTCATTGAAGTAACACAATTTTATTTAGGTATTATAATATCCTTAAAATTTTTTCATCTCCTGTGTAATCCCCCCAATTTTTATAATCCTAATCTTAGCTTTCTTGTTTATCTCATTCTCGTTAACTCTTTATATGTGAAAATCTGGTTATTACCCATTTTCTGTATGTGCCACACATAGCAGTGCTGTAAAATAAGTTTTATGCTAAGGCTGGATAACTAGCTGTAATTCATCATTTTATAAGGAGTATTTTTACTAATTTAAATTTGCCTTCTCAAATATAAACATATTTAAATGACTATAATGCACACACAGAGTCATACACATACACACAGTCAAATGTCTGTAGAGACTTCTACCTAATTTATTGCTGATTCAGTTAACAGTTATTTATGGAACATCTACCATGGTATTAGGTTGAAGAAATTCAGTGGGGAACTAGTAGGGTCTTGGTCCTCCAGGATCTTACTATTCAAATGGGTATTTTATTATTATTTTGTTGAGGGCACAACAAAGTGACACTTCATCAAAATTCTTGTGAGTTCTTTTTGGAAATCACTGAAGTAAACAAAATAAATCATCAATAAAATTCATTTTGTCACAGCTTTGTCTAAGCTGCTCCCTTTTGATTGTTCCTCCTTAACATTCCTTAGTTGCCTTATTTTGCAACCTGATTTCTTTTCTATAGTCCATGAACTGCTTAATTCATATTAAGAAGTTAGCTTTTCTTGTTTTCTAGCTGGCTTAATTCTTGGCTATAAGTAAGTGTTACCAACACAGATTCAAGCTTTGTTTTTCACTGTAATAAATTAGCAAATATTTACTGCATATTTAACATGCCCTTGACACTGTGCTAGGTGTTACAAACACCTGCAAGATTTTTATCCATAGTTGTGGCTCTACCTTTATTACTAAATTCACCTCGTTTGCTTCATCCTGCTCTTTCTCTCCTCTAACTATGAAGTTTGAAATTCGATACGCCCAAATATGATAATGTTGGAAAACTCCGTTATGTCTTCATGCTTATGGTCTTAGCCCTTAAACTTCTTACCATTTGCTCTTCACCAAAATCCCTATGCTGAAAGACCCCATCCTCTCTGAGGAGTGCTCCACATAAAACTAACCAACCACTCTCTTTCTTCCGTCCGACTCAGCTCAGTCCTGCTGCCAATTGTGCTCACTCTCTTTAGGATACTGATTCCCCATGTTTTCAATAAACCAGCAACTCTCCCCTTACACACGATTTTCTTCGCTGCCCTACTAAACTCTAAACTTCCCTGGGTGTCTGCTAAATTCCAAGCCAGATCACCAAATTCTGAAATTACTTCTGTGCATGAGGCAACAGTAAAACAAGAGGAGAAACAAAAACTCCACGAAAACAAGGCTAGTCCTTACTGGTTTGTGCTTGTGTCCATCATGAGCGAAACGGCAATACTTTAGTAGAAATAAAAACAACCCAATCCTGAACTGAGTAAATCATGGTCACTCCTCACAATTTTAGGTTCCATCCTGTGGCTTCCAGTCAATTTCTCTGCTCCCTGCCTCTCCCCCTCCTCTGTCTTCTCATTTATCCTAACGGAAGTCATCAATACTGAGTGTCCCCTGATGCTGCCCACACTGCATGCTCTTTCAGCCCTTTGCTTCTTCATTAATCAGCAACCTCAGTGGTATTCTTCCTCTATCTACAACTTTTTAAAAATAACTGACCCCTTACCTTTTGCCCTATTTTCACTCTCACCTTAAATTAAAAATTGTTGACTCACATTCCTTGGCTAATAAATACATCTACAAGCTACAAACAGCCAATATTATTAAGAGCTTGCTACTGAGCAACTTGCTCTATGGTTTTTCACGGCATGAAATTTGAGTTCAAGCTTCCATACTTTGCGCATTTATGCCTCCCCTCCTTGAGGATCAGCGCTGTGTTAGGTTGTAGGATGTAATTGGTTCCCTTTAATTGAAAGTTTCTTTTCTGACTGCCCCACTTGACACTCTCCCTCCCTCCCCTCAAAGAGCTGATTAGTCTCCAGCAGTTTTATGGACAATGCTGCCCTCTGGTGGCTTGAAATTTTCAAGTTGACAAGTTGTTCATGTACATACACACAGATAATTGGATATTTGAAAATTACTAGTAAGTTTTCAAGCATTTAACAGAATACAAATATTTAAAACAACATTTTAATTTATTAGTGAGTAAAGTTTAAAATTATGGCCATTATTTTAGGTTGATTCAAATAAGTTAATAGCATATCACAATTTGATTGCATTAGTGCTAGAAAATTCTTCATTCTGTAAGAGGAAAACCTGAGTTAGAGTCTTAAATGATTTGCCCATAGACACAAAATAACGTAAGTGCTACATCAACACCCTCCTAAAGATTAAAGTATCAAAACTAGAAAGGATCCCACTGATTCTCTTTTTCACGTTTTGCATTTTTAATCTTACCTTGAATATTTCTATTCTGTCTATCTGTTGTGAAGGGGAGTAGAAAAAAAGAGTGAGGAGAATTTAAAGGTCGTCATTAAGTTTTACATTTCAGAATTCAAATTTTAAAGAAAAAATGCTTTTATTTCACCAATCTAATAGTATGTATTTTTATTTTTGGGGGGGAGGTAAGTAAGCTTATTTACTTATTTTTTAATGGAGGTACTGGTGATTGAACTCAGGACCTCACGTATGCTAAGTGTGTACTCTACCACTGAGCTGTACTCTACCCCTAATCTAACCGTATTTTGATAAAACAAAAGCAAAACAAAAGCTTAGTATAGAGACACAAAACCTCACATAGTAATGAGAATGCAATTTGGTTTACAATCATGTAATTAGAATGAATATCTCTCTAAAAAGCATACAACTGCCAGTTTGGTTTTTTACCTGATAGGTCATGCTTAATGACCACTGTCAAAAAGTGAAATTTAAGATGTGGTTGTTAACTCGGATGGCTGGTTTTCATTTTTCATTTGTTACCCTACTATGCCCCCTTGTGACAGGTAAGAGGAGCCTTAATTTTTGCTTCATAATAATTATGAAATTTTTGGCCATTAAAGCAATGATTTTTATGTTTGGGCAGACAGTCCATATTAAAACTTCTTCTAAAATATTACTGACTATGCTAATTTATTAAAAATGTACTCAACCTAAAAAAAGTCCTCAGTTACAAGAATTAGCAAGAAAGATATATTTTCCAGAGGTAGATTTTAACAAGAAAATTTTTCCTTAGCTTCACTATCAGAGAGTACTGCAAATACTGTAGATATCTAAAAATATAGATCTTTCAAACATAAACAAGTAATAATTATTTGTTGAACGTTGGCTGAGTCAATCTTTAAGCCACTTTTGATATTTGAACTTGCCCAGCAGTTTCAGAAACTTTTACTATTTTCAAAACACCTATTTGAACAATGTTTTTGATACTCTTGAAGATGAGTAGAAATATACATCGAAGCAACAAAACAGATTATCAAACTACCCTGATTTACTGCATTGAATTCCACTGCCCCAGGACTGAGAGCCTCATTCTCGTTAGGGCTGGGAGTTACATTTCCCCGGGTGATCACTGCATACTATTCAGTTCATAGACAGCCCTGATGAACTTAACAGGCGTTTGCAAAACAAGATTGCAGGAGACACAAAGCAAAATAAGTTGACAAACAGAGCATATAGTTTACATTTTCTTGAAAAATGCTTAAAATTTCAATATTTTAAACCTGACAAACTTTTAGTAAATGACAAAAATATTATCTTGATAGGGTAAAAGATAAAATTAAGGTATCACTAATATAATGCCAAAAAAGGAAAGTCGAACATTCATAAATATAAAAATGAATCAGCAGTACTTTATCAATGGCTAATGAGTCCTGTGCCAACAAGTATCAGTTATTCCTTGGAAACAGTGATACTTTGGTTAGTTTTATTTATGTCTAAAAAAATTAAATATATATATTTCTTGGAATTCTACAAATGAATTGATTAAAAACAATAAAAGGAAAAATTAGTAAGGATAAAAATTAATCTGAGTGCTTCTTTGTAAGCTATAAGTTAGAACTACAGGATAAATATAGATTCCTTGCTCTTCTCAGGAGTAATGGCACTTTATGAAACATTTCACTGACATTAAGATCTTTATAAGAGAAACTGATGAGTGACAGAAACTCAAAACAGTTAAAATAAAAAGTCATGCTACTTATATTAAGCCTATGAGTCCATGAGTAAATATTTATTAAGTGTAAGTAAATGCAAAGTTATATGAAATAAATAATTTTAAATAGTTTTAATTATACATATAAAGTTAATAACCTGCTACTTCTTGCTCTGACATCTGTAAACTACTCAGCATATCAAGTAATTTTACTAAAATGATTAGAGGTGTCCAAAGAAAGATATGATTTGAACAGCCTGGAAGTGGGGGAGAAAAAAAGACGCCTTCGAACATCTCTCAAGCTCAGCATAATCATGAAAGAGACACACTGTGCTCCTTTTCCAGACTGTCAAGCTGTGAAGTCTTCAGAGCTGATACTCATGGAACTGATGAGTTTATATAAATTGTTTATTGAATAATCCAGTGATTTAAAATCACATAAAGGAATAAGCACATGAAGCAGATGCTCTTAAGAATCGACATTTGCTGAGATGAACCAGCTTAGAAACCAATTACAGCATAATTCTCAGTGTAAAATAGAATAGTCAACAGCAAAGTAGAAAAGAAACATGGGGAAGTGAAAATAGCATTTAAGAGTATAAAGTCATTCGATGTAATATCATAATCTTCTCTAAGTTTTCTTGTTCTTTTTCATGAAATTATTACCTTAGACATACTCATATCTGTGAATTTCACTTCTGTCTTTATTAAATACAGTTTGCTAAAAAATAATTTAAAAGATTTTATCTTCAATGTCAGATAGTTATTATTCAAAGATCATTGATTACTCACCTAATTTTTTCAATTTCTTTGATTTCATTTTCTGTGCTCTCTTCAGCATTTGCTGAGCAGTAGAAATATCTTTAAAGCCCCTATTAAAAGATTAAATTTAACAAAGGCAAAAAAATTCAGACTATATTTATATATGCATATACATATAAATATACATATCTGGATTATACCAAAACAAATATGAATTCCCATTTAAGAATCTGTAATTTAATAGACATATAGTTTCTTAAAAACTAATAAAGGTATTCTTGAAATCTCAAAAAATATGCCTTGGACATTTAAAAGTTTCTCAATTTCTTAATATTTTAGTGTAAAACAGACCACATACCATTCTTCTGAAATTTTTTCCTCTTTTTCAGATTTTAGCAAATTCTTTCTGCTGATCTTAGATTCAGGTGTCCACGATAAAGTTCTATTTTCTGATCTGGCAATAGGGAAAAACCACACTGAACTGAATCAACCCAAGTATATCAGCAGTTTTTAAAACTACAAGCTGTTTATGTTGTCTCAAACTTGGAAATAAAATACATTTAAGTTACAGAAAAGCTTTATCTTGAAAAGTAATAAAAGTCTGCCATTAATTTAAAATGTTTACATTTCAATTACTTGAAGCATATTTCAATCCTTTTGTTGAAAGAAACTCAGCATTGGAATTTTTATTCTAATCCTTATCTCTACCTATATAGCAGTATTTAAAAGTCCACTTGTTTAAAACAATTAATTATATTATTTCAGTGACACTTAAGTTTTGTAGTTGCTGTAATGAACTTACCTAACACATTTTTCTTACACTGAAAACTCCATAAAATCACTACATTTTCACATTAAATGCTTTTTCCAACTTCTAAACAAGTAAATTCATTCCTATTTTCCATCATCTTACTACTTTTGTAAGGAGTGTAATATTCTTATCATTCATTAGAGGTTGTTCCTCTAAAAGAGTGATTTAGCTTACCTGCTAGTAAATTGTGTGTGTTCCGATGAAAACCAATTTTCTTTCTCCCTCTCATTACATAGCCATGCTTGCACTGGATGACTTGGTAAATTAAGTGATGTGTCATCATATTTTAAGGTTCCAGAGAGCTTATCAGAAAAAAATGAATATAAGTATAAAATAAGTTGAAAAAAATCTAGCACTTATATTGTATGACTTTACATGCATGGTATCGAGTGGCCTAAGGGGAACTCATATAAAAACTGAAAATTAAACTAAAGTGAAAAATATGGAAAATACATACAAATGTCCTTTGTTGTAGCTGTAAAGTATATGCTTTTTGGTATAGTTTGCATATACAAAATGATTAACTGCAAAGATCTTGAAAAAATCTCAGAAAAACAAAAACTTCAAAGATTATCAAATAAATAACAGATACTGCAGTTCATTGACCTCTGACTGAGAATCTTCAGCTGTTGCCCTTTTAATGCATATTTTTGTATTTCTAAAGTGCTGTCAACTAGTGATTTTAGTCTACTGCCAAATATGCAGCTGAAGCATATCATTTTTTTTTTTGCTACTGTGAAATAAAGTGTTGAAAGAAATCCAAAATAAAGGAAAAAATTAGAAGCAAGTGAAAGAAAAGCTACATGAAAAATTACATCTGGGGATGAGGAGGAAGTCAGAGGCTTCTAAAAGTAATTGTGTTTTTCAAGTCAATAAATTGTATTATTAATCACTGTAGCATAGCATAACCTTAAGAAACGAGCAAAGATCGAGCACTAAGAGGTTTCCATGACATGTTACCTTTGGCCGGTGCAGCTGGTTTGGAAGAAGCAGTGTTTGTGAAGGGAAGCGGGCGGAATCTAAAGCTAGCCATTCTTTCTCTAAGGCAGCCTGCACAAATAATAACATGAACGTACATAATTTAGTTTGCATAACTTTTACAAGATTCTTTTAAATTGTCTTACACACTACAAATGTTAAGAAAGTGTACCAACATTTTTATTTAAGAAAAATTTGCCACTTGATCTTGTGAGATGTTATTTATTTGTTTAATGTAAATATTCTTTAAAAAAGTGGGGTAAGATTTTCCATCCCCAAGTGGGATAAAGTGAGAACTTGAGTACTCACATGCTTCAAAAAAAAAAAGAGGTGCAGACTCACAGACACAGAGAACAAACTTACGGTTACCAGCGAGGGGAAGAGGGTGGGAAGGGATAAACTGGGAGTTCGAGATTTGCAGATACTAACAAATATACATAAAACAGATAAACAACAAGTTTATACTGTATAGCACAGGGAAATATATTCAATATCTTGTAGGAACTTACGGTGAAAAAGGATATGGAAATGAATATACGTATCTTCATGTATGACTGAAGCATTATGTTGTACACCAGAAACTGACACAATATTGTAAACTGCCTATACTTCAATAAAAATGTACATGTACAAAAAACAAGAGGTGCAGATTGTTCAGTGTATTTAACTGTTTGATAACTCTAACTCTGAACCAACTCTAGATGTAACTGAGGGAAATAATCTTTTAGCTCTTTATAATGCAAATTGTAATACTTTCCATCAAACCTTACTGCTAAATATTTATAGTATTTTAACATTATATCAATTTTTCTATAAGTACTATCTGTAAGATAGCGTTTACTTAATTTTTGTTCAAAATTTTGCACATTTTCTGAATAGATGGAAAAAAGAATTTTGTGGCAATACATAGAACATGGTTCCTGATATTATATTCTCTAATTCAAGTATTTGAATGATAAAAGTATAAATTTAAATTTTGAAATGATCTTATTTTAAATCACTTCACTCTTCGTCTTACAGCATCTTTATTTCATTTATGTAATTTCCAAAATTTATTTTATTTTTCTAAATGGAACTATACTAGTTATGCCAGTGTTGTATAATTTAACATATAATTATCTAAATTTTATTTGCTTGGGTTATCTAATATTGTTTAAAATAAACTTATGTGGTTCCATAATATTTTTTGAATTTTTAAGAAAAAAGGATAAGCAGAACACCAATGAACTTGTTTTTTAAAAATGTTCTAAAATGATCAAACATATTTATGATTTGAAAACTGGAATGAGTACAATCTGAGAAGACCTAAATGCAATTTTCCATTCATGCAGCTTTAGTGTTCCTTGACTATCTCTTGAAAGACCTTTGGGAAGGCAACATAAGGCCTCCTGACTACAGGCCAGCAACGCAAATGACAGACTTTTACTTATAGCATGTTGTCTTGGGAAATCTAATCAAATTCATGTTATTTGAATACCTACATAAAAAGGACACTTCTCCTCAGCTGTACACAGGAACATTGTCCAATTGTCCAATTCCTTCTAGGAAGAGATTATTAATATATATATATATATATATCACAATCATATACCAGTTATATCTGGTTTAAGAAGAGCCATTTGATGCAAGTTTGCAAACATTATTCAGGGCTCAGATTTAAAATTCTTTCTTTTATATGACAAATAAAAGAAAATTCAGATCTATCCCGGGAAAGATCAAGGCCCACGGCATATCAACTATCATTAAATTAGTATTCTTACTCTGTAAAATTGTCAAAATGAAGAGAAGATGTGGATACACTATTACACAAGGCAACGTGCCAGGGGATTCTGGGAAGATGGGCAGCGGGGAGTAGGAAGCACCAGGAACCTGTCTCCTAACCTAGACAACAACTGAACTGGCAGAATCTGGTGTAAGTTGTTCGGACCTTGAGAGTTTACTGAAGACTTGTAATGTCCTGGGGAAGACCTGGGTGGTAAATTGTGGTTAATTTGGTCAATTTCAGCTCTCAGCACAGTGGCCACCATCCATCCTTCACCCCACAGCCCCATGAGATAGGCAGTTGTTCCTGTGTTTCAGGATTAGCTTGCACACAGTTTGCAGGAGCCATGGTGGACAATGAGGACACTGTCCTCCAAACAAATACTGGTGATCTGTGCTCTGATCTGATTGTTGCTTCTGATCACAGATCTGCAAAGATTTCCGGATTTGAAAGGTGAATGTCCTTCCCTCAACACTCCCACTTAATTTTCTCTTTTTCCTCTTTTGGGAGACAGATATTAAAAGCTAGAATATTCATTAAAAAAAAGACGGGTATACAAAATCATCTGCATATATGGGGGACATGAGAAAGCCAGCACACTTGCCTGGGGAAAGGCACAAGATTAGAAAAGAACTAAAAAGACCTTTAGTTTATAACTCAGGCTAATCCTTGGCACAAACAGAGGCTGCAACAATGAAAACAAAAATGACAGAAACAGAAACAAAAAACCTAGAAAACCCTGAGGAAGAGAGAGAACCAGATTTCCAGAGTTATCACATTATTAGATTAAATGTCTAATTTTAAATAAAAATCACAAGGCATACAGAGAAACAGGAAAGTTTACGGCCTATTCAAAGGGAAAAAAAATCAACCAAAACTATCCCTAAGACAGACCTCGTGGCAGATTTACTAGACAAATAATTTAAAACAATTGTCTGAAAGATGCTCCAAGAACTAAAAGAAGAGAGAAAATGATGTATGAACAAAATGGAAATATCAATAAAGAGACAGAAAACCTGAAAAGAAATAATAAAGAAATTTTGAAGCTGAAAAGTATAATAACTGAAACGAAAAAATCACTAGAATTCACCAGCAGGATTCACTAGGGGGATCTGCCTTTAAGTAGGAAGATAATGGAATGGGTGAACTAGAAGATACACAATGAAATTATCAAGTCTAAGAATGAGCAGAAAGGAAAAAACAAAGATTAAAGAAAAGTGAAGAGAACCTAAGGGACCTGTGAGACACCATGAAACGGATCAACACGTGCATCACGGGAGTCATGAAGGAAAGAAAGGACAGAAGACATAGGCAGAAAGAATGTTGGAAAAATAATGACTAAAAATTTTCCAAATTCAGAGACAGACCTGAATACTAACATCCAACAAGCTCAATGAACTTGAAGTAAGATAAAGTCAAAGAGCTTCACACTAAGACATATTATAATCAAACTTTCCAAAGTCAAAGACAGAGAATCCTGAAAGAAGCAATTCGCCAGGTACAAGTGCTCCTCAGTAAGACTACCAGCGGGAAGCTCATCAGAATCTTTGAAGTCCAGAAGGCAGTGTGCTAATACATTCAAGGTGCTGAAAGAAAAAACTGTCAATTAAGGCTCCTTTGGCAAAACTGTCCCTTACATTAGGAAGAAATGAAGACGTTCCCAGATAAATAAACAAAACCTGAGAGAGTTCATTACCGTTAGACCTGTCCTGAAAGAAACACTAAGGGAGTTCTTCAGTTTGAAACAAAAGGATGCTAGACAGCGGTTCAAAGCAATATGAATAAATTAAGATCTCAGTAAAGGTAACTACATAACAAATTATAAAAGCAACCATTGTTTTTAAAATTGATTTATTTGGGGATGGGAATTAGGTTTACGTATTTATTTATTTCTAGAGGAGGTACTGGGGACTGAACGCAGGACCTTGTGTATGCTAAGCATGCACTCTACCATTTCAGCTATACCCTCCCCCACCAGAAGCAACTATTGTTAACAATAGTTTGTTAATGCCACTTTTTATCTTCTACATGATTTAAAAGACTAATACACTTAAAAACAAATGATTCTTAGCTTAAAAGCCAGTAATATTACAACTTTGGTTTGTAACTCTGCATTTTGTTTTTCCTACATGATTTAAGAGACTAATGTATTTAAAGAAATGATTAGTCTATGTTTTGGGCACACAATGTATAAAGGTATAATTCTGTGACATCAACCACTGAAAGGGGTGGAGATGCAATTGTAAAGGAGCAGAGTTTGTGGGTGCTACTGAAGTTAAGCTGGTATAAATTCAAATTAAAGGGTTTATAACTTTATGATACAAAGGAGGAATGTGAAGTTGTCATTTAATAGATATATAGTTTCAGTTTTACAACATAAAAAGTGTGGATATGCTTGGTGGTGCACTGAATGCACTTAATACCAGTGAATGCACATTTAAAGTGGGTAAGATGGTAAATTTTTAGGTTATGTGCATCTTACCACAATAAAAAAACTGGAGGAAGAATTTACAAGGCTATGTGAGGAGCGACTGTGGAAAGCCTGTCAGGCAAGGAGTCTGACTTACACACTAGTTTTTGGATATACAAGCAACTTTTTTTTTTCTTTTTAAACACCTGCCAAATCACCTCTTTTTTATACTCTCTGGGGCTCCAGCTGTTTTCTTTCTGCAGCAGGACAAGGTCCCGCAAAGCAACTGTAACTTCTTTGCCATATCATATAGATGATGATGGAGGTTTCTTTTGGGAAAAGCTACATAAAGTCTGGGGAAATTTTTCAGATCTTTAAATCGAAATTTAAAAGTACAGAACACTTTGAAAATAGTTTTTCTTGGTTTCTAATGCAAAATCACAAACTTTTGTAAGATTCCAGAACAATTCTTTAACCACTGTCTCTTAGAAATTTCTAGAAGCATAAGAGGTTTAATATAAAATGCTAAAGATACTTTTAGTAATTATATAATCCCAGCCGAAAAATGCTACCAAGACTACTGATTTATATGCGTTCAAGTTTATTAATCTCAAGTATATTTGGCAGTACCTAGTATGTTGTGGAACAAAAAAATCTCAAAATGTCAAGAGGAATTGGCCAAGATTATAAATATACTACTGTTTTAAAATGTATATTAATATATCATGCTTACCTCTGGACATTTACACAAATTTCAGTTATTGCTTACGAAAACCTTCTGTTCAGATATTCTTTAACTTACAACTGAGGATCTGGAAAGCTTTCTGGGCATTAGAAGACTATTATCAAATTTACTTACACATTAAAAATAAACTTGAACTTAGCTACATTTGTAATGGTGTGTTCACAACTGAACATTTGAACAGATATACATATATTTGGCT